ATTTATTTTTGTGTAAAGTGATTATTATTAATTGTAGTAGTAATAATTTTGATTTATAAAATGTTTTAGTATTTATATAGTTTATTTTATTTGTTTATATAATCATTTTTGTTGTTGTTCTAGTCAATTTTGTAACATTAAAATATAATTTATTAATTTAAATTTAAATTAATAATAAATTTTATCATCATTATAATTTGAAATTATAATTTATAATAATTATTATTTTTTTATTTATTTTATTTTAAAATTGTGTGTTAATTAATTTATTTATTTGTTTATTTATTTATTTTTCTTTTATTTTAAATGGGAAAGATTTTTTAGTTTTCTTTTATCTTTTTTTTTTCATTTTCTTTTTTTAATCTATAAAAGAAAATAATTTTATCCCTCTCTCAACCAAAAAAAAAAAAAGGTAACTTCAATATTTTTTATTTTTTTTTTGGTGAAAGTTTTTATTATAATCACTTTAAATTGTTAATGCCAAATTATTTTAAAAAAAAAAATTACAACACCCACATTTAACAGAAATTAATTAACATCACACCGGTTTTTTGATATGAAAATATCCTCCAAATTCTTTTAAAAATAAAAAATAAAAAATAAAAAAATTCAAAAAAAAAATTCAAAAATCCTATCACTTTACACATTTACACAAAGAAACACCTTACATTTTGGGGTTTTTCTTCAAACTTTGGATATAGGCTGTGTGTTAAGAATCATCATTTTTTTTTTTTTTTATTTTATTTTTTTTTTTAATTAATTTATTTGTGATAAATAAAATATAGTATAGTTTAGAATAATAAATATTTATGTGGTATAAAGAATTTAAAAAAAATAAAAAAAATAATATTACCAATCAATCACCACAGGTCAAAATTTTTTTTTAAAAAAGTAACATTATGTTTAAAATATTAGTAAACTAAAGTTTTTATCACACAGCAAAAACATCAAATTTTTATTTTAAATTTAAAAAAAAAAAAACTTTTTTTTTTTTTTTTTTTCAATTTTTTTTTTGATTTTTATTTTTTTATTTTAATTTTTTAATTTTTAAAGTTTTAAAACTTTTTTTTTTTTTTTTTTAAATTTATTTAAATATATATGAACATTAAAAAATTTTTTTAACCCCCATTTCAATCATTAACCAACATTTAATTTTAATATTAAAGTTTAAATTAGTATTAATTCACACTTTTATTTTATTTTAATTATAAAATATTGTATTTTTAATTTTTCATTTTTTCACTTTTTTTTATTTTTATTTTTTTATTTTTATTTTTTTGACTATTTATAAATAAATATAAATATAAATATAGTTTAAAATATATTATATTCAACTCTTTTGTAAGTTTTTTTTATTTTGTTTTTATTTTTTTTATTCTTATTTTTGATTATAATAAAATGTTTTTTGTTTTTCTTCTATCTCTCTCTTTATTAATCACACACACACACACACATAGAGAGTGAGAGTGAGTGTGGTTAAATTGTTTTATTAAAAAAAAATCACACTAGTTTTATTTTAACCACCACACTCACACATATATACACACAAAGATAAACAATAATAAAAAAATAAAGAGATTCAAATACATATAGGAGCATTTTACATATATAAATTACTATCTACCCATCATCAATAACCTTCAAATTATATTTTCTTTAAGAAATCACCCTTTTAAAGGGGTGATAAAATATTTTTTTTTAGTTTTTTTATTATTTTTTTTTTTTTAATTTTTTTTTTTTTAATTTTTTTTTAAATTTTTTTTCTAACCAAATATTTTTTTTATAATTTTTTTTTAAATTAAGATCGGACATTGGGCTAAGTATATTTTAAAAATTTTTATTTTATTATTATAGTAAAAAGAATAGTTTAATCATTATTTTTTAAAAAAAAGAAAACAGATTTTTTTCAAATCATTATTTTATTTAAAGCGTTTTTAGTATTTAAAGAAATAGAATATTTTTGAATCAAATTTGTAAATACAAAAATAATAAAATCAATCAATATTTCAATCAATCACTAATTAATCAATCAATTAATACAATAATACCCGTAATTGTAATTTTAAATTCCTTTTTTAAAAAAAAAAAAACAAACACACTTTTTTTTTTTTTTAAAATATTTTAAAAATAATTTTTTTTTTAAAAAAATTATAAAAATAGAATATTTAATCACCACATCAAACATAAATATAGAAATATAAATATATATATAATAGTAAATATAATATATAAATAATAGTAATAAAATGACTAAAGAAAAAACAATTGTAGTCGAAAAAGACGAAGAAGATGAAATTGAATCAGTAAAGGGACCAACCAGATCAAGTCCATTTCATTTATTAGGTGCATTCTGTTTTATTACAGCAATTATAGCAGGTGTAGTATGTTGTCTTGTCAGCACATTAATTAAAGGAATTTCATCACAAACTCGAGGTTATATATTTTTCGCAACTTTTGCAACATTTATTGTGTTATTATTCTTTTGTTTATGTTGTACCTATTATTTAGGTGCCTCAAGAGAAGCATGGGAAACTCCACAGCATACAGATGTACGTTGGAATTTTACAAATATTGTAGCAATGGCAGGTTTATTTGTAGAGTTTGTCCAAATTTGTTCATTCTCATTCAACGAGTCGTTCGGACCCTATTTAGGTTCATATATTTTCAGATACTTTAACTATACAGCAACACCATATCCAAAGGGAGGATATTTTGAAGTTGCCTATTGGGTAATGTTTGTTGTAGCTTTCTCACCATACATTTTCGTTATTGCAATTCGTATTCTTATCTACATGTATGGTATCAAAAGAGGTGCAGATTCAGCCGCTAATGTTGTAGAGCGTTATCAAGATAACATTTACTCTGTACTTTGGTTCCTTGTAAATACCTTATATTTCCCAGTAATCACAATGATGTTAACTGGTACATCTTGTACTTTTTCGAAGAGTGATTCATCCGAAGAAATTGCATCATCTGCAATCGATTCATTAATATCATCAGTATCATCATCATCAGGTTCATTTTTACCAACTTTAGATGCCGATTCAGATATCATTTGCTTAGAGGGTCGTCATATTGCATTTTTAGTTTGTACAATGATTGCTTTAATCATTTACTATCCAGCCGCTTCTTTTGCTCAATCTCAAACTCAAAATATCTCTGATATCAAATTCAAGCCAAAGGTTGTTTTCGTAATGTTACAAGGTAAATTCTTAATGGGTGCTCTTTGTGTTAGTTTTGGTTACAAAAAATATGACGTTTATCTTTCGACCGTTGTAATTATAAACTTTTTCTTTTTAGCTTTAAATGTTTGGTTCCAGCCATGTCTTTTACCTTGGATCAATCGTCTACGTACAATATTTTTCTCTTTGTCGTTCTGGGCTTCAATTGTTTTAGTTATCAGTCACACAATGTTTTATCCAGAAAGAGAAGATGATAAAAAAGTTTTACCTTTAATTTTATTATTGGTTGGTTGGGCCATTATTATTGCGTTCTTGGTGGTGTTCTTTGCGGGTTACTCTAAATTCTTAAATAGAATGAGAGAGTTATTCAATAATAAATTTAATCGTAACCAACCACCAACACAACAATCACAACAAGCTGAAGATAATGGTGCATCTCAAACCCGTAAAAAGAAAGCAAAGAAAACTGTAAATTCAGATAGAGAAATGGAAGAAATGGCCAACTATAATAATAATAATATTAATAATAATAGTAATAATAATAGTAATAATAATAATAATAATAATAATAATAATAATAATAATAATATTCAACCAGTTACACAAAATAATATAGCTAATAATATAGATAGTGATTCAGATAGCTCAGAATAAATGATCTAAAAAAATATTTATATATATATCTTTAAACAAAAATAACATAAAATATGTTTATAAAAAAAAACTTAAAAAAAATTAAAAAATAAAAGTTTAAAAAAAAATATAAAAAATAAAATAATTATTAAAAAAAATAATATGTAATAGTATATGTATTCTTAAAAACTAAAACTATTTTTGGATGTATAGTTTTTAAAAAAAGGGATTGGTTTTTATAATAAATAATTTTTTTTATTTTTTTTTTTTTTAATTACAAATAAAAAAGTGTATTGTTTTATACAAATAGTAATTAAATTTAATTATTTCCAGGGGTAGTGTTATCTGATATTTCATTACCTTCGTTTGGGGTGGATGCAATCTTTATATCTTTAAGACTTGTGCTTAATCTGTTTTTTGTTGAAACTTTGACATGATATGGATCATAATCCTCTTCGTCATCTGAGGGGTTATTAGCTGAAAGAGATGAGTCCATTGTAGTCATACCCATTTTTGATGTATCTTTTGTTGATGAAGTGTTGGCATTTGTTGAGCTTGTTGATGAAGAGTCGAGCGATTTTTTAACATATTTTGCTAATTTATTATTTAATAACCATGATTTTTTCCAAATTTTCTTTGCTCTTGGTGTAAGACCTTGTAAAAAGAAACAATAAACTCCATAAATTCTAATACAGAAAATAAAGAAACCTAAAGAGCCTATGGATGGGCCTTTAATTACACAATCTTGGGGTTTGTCAGAGGTGGAAACACATTTAAAATAATCGGGGATTTGGCCATATACAATATCACCTTGATCGTTCATATAAAAATTAAAAGCAAATAAATATAAAAAGGTAAAGAAAATTAAAACAATGTTTAGAATTGGTTTAACTTCCAATAAAAATACACCCCCTCTTTTACTTGCACGAACAACTTTATAAATTTCGATAATTACACCAACTAAAAAGCATGTTCCAATAAAAAGTGCGATACCAAGTGGGATCCAAAATAGTCCATTTTGTAACTTTGTTGTATTCACCCAACAACTATTATTTAAATTATAAAAAAATAATTAATATGAATATTTTAAACTTTTTTTATTAATTTAAAAAATAATACTTACTGCATATTACCTCTGATCATTCTGTAGTTTTTGGTTGCCAGTGGAACAATACTGAAAACTAATGCAAGAGTAATTGTAAATGGTACATAAAATTTCATTAAATTTAAACGTTTGTTTGTAAAGTGTAATCTATACCACAAGTCAAATGCCATTAAAACCCACCATTCGATAGCCATAATAGAGGAAAGTTGAAATATAAAGCCTGTTGATGAGCACAATGGATCCTCCCATACAGAAATTCTAGCACCATCATCATGAATTAAAGATCTTGGGCCACCAGCAAATAAAATGATAACCCCACTTAAACTTTGCAAAAATATTGAAAAATTGAAAAAACCATGCATTTTATCGTATTGAGATATTTTTGGATTAACTACATTATAGGTAATAAATAAATACAAAGCTCCTAAGCATGAAAGTACTGATAATACGTTTGAAAGATTGTAGAGCTGGGTCCACTGTTTGTCTGTAAATAATGGAACAGGGTTTGGAATAACACAATTACTTTTCTCATTAACAAAGAGGTAACCTTTTTTTTCGTCTGCTGCATGATCTGTAGATGGATGTCTCTTTAAAATAAAACAATCTTCTTCGACACCACCCCAACCATTTTCTAAATATGGGTTGTTGCACTCTATTGTATAGTTGTCAGATCCACCAATTGAGGTAAGGTTATAAATTTGATTTTTTATTGGAAATAGTGGGTCTGTGGTATTTGTTACATTTTTGTCACAATTAATGATAAAACCGGTTTCTTTACATGATTTATTTGTAGTATTGACACATTGGGCATTACACGTTAATACTGGGAAGGCAGCGACCTCATTTGTATTGTTATTTTTATATTCTACACATTTTGGAAAGAGGAATGAGCAAGCTGTTCTGAATGTATTAATCGAGTTACATCCTTCACCCAGAACTTTTAATAAATCAACATTGCTTGATAATGATTTTGAACCTGCTTGGGTTTGAGTAGCTGTTGTATAAATTGAATCTAATATTTTTTTAAAATTTAGGTGTTAAATAATAAACCCCCATTAATTTAAATGGAAAATAAAAAATTTTTTTAATAATAAATTTTACTTTACTAAGAAAGATTTAAATACTTACCATAATCTAAAAATTCATCGCATGGGGTTTCGCCTATATAAGGTTCGCATTTTGCAGTTTTATCTATCGAGTATATTTGTTGTGAATTTAAAGTTTGAATTAAAAAAAAAATAAAAAAAATTATATATAGTAAAAAATTCCTGTTTTTCATATTTTAAAATAGTTTAAAAATCCGCCAATCAATAAAAAATAATAATTATAAAATTATAAAAAAAAAGATTGTTATTAAAAAAAAAATATAAAAAAATATAAAAAATTATAAAAATTTATAAAAATTTATTCAAAGCTATTTTAAATAAAATAAAAATAAAATTATAAAAAAAAATAAAAAAATGTGAAAGGTTTTTTCCGACTTTTTCAAATAATCAAATAGATATTATCCCAAAATTACAATCATAAAAACGCCACTGTGATGTGGCGAGGGGATGCTTTTTTTTTTTTTTTTTTTTTTTTTATAAATTCCCTACCGATTAATCAAAAAAAAAAATTAAAAAATTAAAAAAAAAAAAGAAAGAAAATAAATATCTTATAAAAATCTTTTTTTATTCATTTTAATAATAGTATTATTTGACTATGTTCTCGTTCTTCTCTTCGTCTACGTTTTTATTATTAATATTGTCGCTATTATTATTATTGTTTTGTGTGGCTTGTAATTTTTTTGATTTTTTTTTTTTTTTATATAATACAATTCCTAAAATAACTAAAGATAAAACAACAACTGGAATGGAGATTGATAAAATTAAAATATTTCTGAGTGTATTATCCACATAGGTTCCTCTATCATTGTAATATGAAAAGTCTACTGGGTAAACTGAGAAATCGTATGTATATAAAGCCTTGTTTTTATCAAATATTAAATAGCTTGCATATTTTTTAATTTTTAAATTTTCATTGCTGTTGGTATGATTGGTAATAATATTGTTTGTATTGTTATTTTTCAAATGTAAAGTGAATGATTTAATTTCTAATGGGTTTATATTATGGTTGTTGGTGTTATAGTTATTATTATTTAAATTTTGTAAATGATTAAAAATATATTTATTTTCAGATTTACCTGACTTTATAGGGAAATTCAAATCATTTCTTAAACTACTTTCCACTATACATAAAAATAATGAGTGTTAATATATTAAAAAAGTAAATAGATTAGATTTATACTTACTATTTGACAAATTATCTAAAAAGCTTTTTTTTTGAGTTTTTTGAGTATTATCCTTTGAATCTAAAAATGCTAGGTTGGTTTGGTTTATATTGTTGATTTTAAAACTTGGTTTAAATAAATTATTAAAGTTAAGGTTTTGACTATTTTTATAAAAATTAAAAAATCTTAATCCAATTTTATCATTTGAATATGTTTTTAGAGTCATTAAATGAATGTCATTTGGTAAATCTTTTAAAAGTGGTGAAAAGGAGGTTTTATAACTATCAAAATAGTTTTTAAGGTTGGATAGTTTTTTAACCATATATATTGGTGAGTGGTCGAGTTGATATCCCAATTTCTTTTCGTTCGATTTTGCAGCCTCGATGGTATCAAAATTAAAATAAATTTTACCATCACTTCTAGAGGTGTCTCTATTTGGCCACGATAAACCCTTGCTATCATCCTTGCTCATTGATCGATGTAGCATGATTTCAATTTCACCGGTTGATGGAGATGTGGTTCCAAGCGAACGGTCAATGTAAATTGTAAATTGTTCGTTTTTATTAGTATCTGTAAGTTTTGAAAAGTGCAGTGCAGGATAGTAGTTATCCGGTCTCTTTGCACTTGAATCGTAGTATCTAATTCTATTTTCCATACCATTATCTGTAAAAAATAAACTATTGTTTTCGCTAAATGCCTCTACCTTGTAGTTGATTGTTTTTTCTCTGTTTATTTCTCCTTTAAATGAATAGCCAGTTTCGATAATATTTTCAGTTGGTAAATAGTCCTCGTTACCTGAGGTTTCTTGGTGCTTGTATAATCTTTGAATAACTATTGAGGATACATTAAAGTTGCTCTCTATACCATATAATAAATTTAGCTGGCTAACCAATGGACCATCATATATATAATATTGATCTGCTCTTTTTAATACTCTTTCTCTTTTACCTGGATTTAAAATATATGCACCTCCTTTTTTTGATTTATATTGATTAAATGACTGCTCTATTGTTTTTGAGTGACCAGTTGATAGATGTTTAATTGTTTTAATGAAACCATTCATATCAAATTCTATTTTATATTTCCTTGATGAAAATACCAATTGGTCTGGGTTATTTGTTTTGGTTATTTTTGACAAAATTGAGGGGTTGTTTAACTGACTATTAATTTTTAAAATGAATGAATTTAAACCTAGTGCATCTATATTTACAATTGAAATCAAATTGTACTCTTGTTCAGTATTTTCGTCATCTATAAATGGTCTTATTGGTAGTGCTTGGATTTGAAGTGTTTTATTTGTGGATGCTTCAATAAATTCTAATTGTGGAATTAGTTTTTTAGGTGATTTGATCCTAATTGATACATGTTGCTTAGTGGACCATCCTAATGAGTTTTGAAATACAAGACTATAGAAATCATCAACACCTAAATCAATTATATTTAGACAGGTATCCAAACCATATAAATTTTGGCCATTATGTAGCGGTATAGCATCGTTGTTACTATTAGATAATAGAGATTCTATTGAATTGGAAATGATATTATATGATTTTAAACTTAAATCCTGGAGCTTCTTAAACTGGTCATATAAAACATAGCTTCTTGAGGTACCAGTGACAATATCATGGTGCTGAGATAGAGATATTATATTTCTATTGTCGTTTAGGTGACTCTGGAAATCTAATGGACTGGAGGTAGTATTTGATTCTAAAGCTTTTGCAAAAGTGTATATTATTTCGGAATGTCTTAATAGGTTGCTTGAGTCCCTAATTTGTTTTTTTAACACAGGTCTTGTTGAGAAATAACCAGACCAAACATCATTTTTCCCTGTTTCATATGGAAAGAAATCCTTATCAAATAAAAATAATTGCTTTTTGTCTATTTCTAATTGGTTGTTTAGCTCCTCAAAATACTCTGATAAAGTTGCAAATTTAATTTCCTCAATATTATACTTTTGCTTTTTACTTTTAACTACATCTAGCCATTCCTGTGCGATTCTAAACTCTTTCTCTGCATCAGACCATAGGAAATCGTCACCTAGTTGAACCATGAGTACGTTTGTGTTTCGGGATGTTGATAACCTATTTAGAAAATCTACAAATTTTTCTACTTTCTTTTTTACACTTAATTTTGATTTGTATGGATCAATCATTCTGGGATAACTATAATGGTCGTCTAATGTTGAGACTATTATTTCTGAATCGCTGCTTAAAGTATCAGAGCCCCTCCATATAAACTCCATAGCTCTATTTTGTCTCATATAATTCTTTACACTGTTTGAAACTCTATTTATAACCAGACCTTTGATTCCCATTTTTCTAAACAAAGTAGGCGTTATAGATGAATAACCAAAAGGATCAATTTGCCATGCATATTCAACTGTATAGTTTAAATTCTCCTTTAACCATAAATGACCCTGAGTCATTTGTTCTATAATATCATCAATATTTGCAGTAGCTTCATCATTTTGAACTAAACCCCCTGTTATGAAAGATAACTGTTTTCTTTGAACAAGCTGTTTTACTATATCCCTTGTGCTATCGTTTTGATTTTGATACCATTCGCTAAAAAACCCTCTATAAAATTTTTAAATATTTTTATTTTTTTTTTTTAAAAGTTTTATTTTTATATTTTTATATTTACATTTCCACCCAATTAAATTTCTTTTCTTTATCTTTATTTAATTCATTTACAACACCTGTTAATATATATTGGACTTTGTTATTATAGTAACTCTATTTATAAAAAGAAAATGAATAAAATAAGTTAAAAATAAAAAAAATAAAAATTGAAAAAATTAATATAAAAATTATATTACCTTAAAATCTTGCAGCCACCCACCATCACAATGGCTGTGAGGTATTAAAAATACCTTTAGTCCTTTTTTGATACCTAAATTTGCATTAGCTATTATAAAACTAAAATATAAAATAAAAAATATAAAAACTATAAAAACTTTCCTCATTATTATTTTTAAATTAGAGAGGATTTACATTAATACTAAATATTATTAAATAAAAATACAAATTTGTATAATTATAAATAAAAATATCTTTAAATTATAAAATGTTAAAATATGTATATAGATATTTTAAATTACAACCCCACATCCATATCTTATAAAATAATTAATAATTTATTAAAAATTTTTAGCACAAGAAAATTAAATAATTTTTTAATTTCCCCCACCCATAAAACACCAACAATTTGCAATGAAACAATAATAGTATTTATTTTATTTAAACACAAAATAATAATATATAAAGATAAAAAAAATTTTACATCTATTTTTTTTTTTTTATAAATAATTAATTTAATTATATAATTTTTTTTATTTATTTTAATAATGCTGTTTTCTCTTGACTTGATTTAATATTTGATTTATTCTGATTGAGATTCATAAGCTGGGAAAGTTTTTGAGACGTCACTCCATGAAACAGTGTTATCGCAAAGTTTTTTAAGGGTGAGAGCCAAGTCAGTAATTGGGATACGAATTTGTTTTGTGGTATCACGTTCACGAAGAGTGACAGTTTCATCTTCAACGGTGGTGAAATCGATAGTAATACCGAATGGAATACCAATTTCATCAGTACGAGCATATTTTCTACCAATAGCATTACCAGTGTCATCAAGTTTAGTGGAAATACCAGCTTCTTTGAGGAGTTTGGAGATTTTAGCGACGAATGGAACAAGTTTTTCGCTGTTGGTTAATGGTAAAATGGAAGCTTTAACTGGAGCAATGATGGCTGGAAGGGATAAAACACCTCTTTGTTCATCATTTTCTCTGGTCCAATAGTTTTGTTCGAGAAGAGCATAAATGATACGACCTAAACCGAATGATGGTTCGATAACGTGTGGGTAATAATTTTTACCACTTTTCTTTTCTTGACCTTTGGTGATGGTAACCATTTCTTTGGTAAGAGTGAATTCTTGACCATCGATATTGAGGACATATGAACCGGTGGTATTGAGAGCTTCTTGAATTTGCATAGCTTCATCAACTTTATCTTTGAGACCAGCTAAATATTCCATTGGAGCTTTGGCAGCTTGTTTAAATTGTTTACCCATAAGTTGTTTTTTAACATCGATGACGGCAATATCGATCATCTTTGGACCATCTTTGAACTCTTCATAGACAGTAAGATTAGCTTTAGATTCATTGGCGTGAACAGTTAAATCGTAACATGAACGATCGGCATGACCAACACATTCAATCCAACCATAGGTAGTAAGGATTTCAGCATCCCAACAATCTTTAGCATAATGAGCCATTTCATTTCTTTGATGTTGTCTGAAACGAAGACCAGCTGGTTTAATACCAACAGTGTGTAAAAAGAGTTGAGTACGAGCCATAAAGTAGGCAAGAGTTTCGTTATCGATTAAACCTTTTGAAACAGCATCACCAAAAGTGGTTTCGATGATTTCTTTGGTGGTATCTTGAGCTTCTGATGATAAGAGGAAAACTTTATCGTTGGCAACTTCTTGGAATTTTGGATGAGTCTTTTCATTTGGATTGACAAAGTGTTCAATTTCGGCCATGGTGAATTCTCTTACACGAAGAAGACCTGAACGTGGAGCAATTTCATTTCTGAAAGCATTACCAATTTGAGCAGCGGCAAATGGAAGTTTCTTACCATTGAATTCATATAATTTGGCAAAGTTAACAAAGATACCTTGGGCAGTTTCTGGACGAAGATAACCTGGGTTATTACCTGATGGACCAATTTCGGTTTTGAACATTAAATTGAATGGATATGGATCTGAAAGAGCATTACCTGTTTCTGGTGCTTTAACATTATATTTAACTAAAGCTTCTTTTAATTCTTGTTGATTGTAATCACCAGCTTTGGTTAAAACGTGTTTAAGCTCTTTAACTTTATCTTCAGTTAATTTTGTATCTAATAATAATTTTTCGATATGACCTTCTAAAACGTGATCAGCTCTGAAATATAATTTAGTAACTTCATCTTTAACCATAAAATCTGAAAATTTAGCAACATGACCTGATGTTCTATTTAATAGTTGATAAAAATATTAGTATTATTGTTTTTTTTCGTAATAAAATAAATTGTGTGTATCAATATATACTTTAAAACAATTTCTGGTGTAACTGAAGTACAATCAACTTCTGACATATCTTCATTTAAAACAAAGTGTTGTCTCCAATAATTGATAAGATTAGCTTTGACAGCACAACCTGGTGGACCATAGTCATAAAGACCAGCAACACCTCTATAAATTTGAAAAGCTGGGGTAATGAAGAAACGTCTCTTCATTAATTCTTCTAAACCATTACGAATTTTTTCTTTATTTTCCATATTTTTTTCTAAATTTGGACCTACGATATTAAATCTTGATAATGTTGTAGTTGTAGTTGTAGTTGTAAAATTAAAATTATAATTAAAATTTGGTGATTTATTATTTAATAATAATATTGATGATTTATTTTGATTGATTGACTTTATACAATTATTAATAATATTATTATTTCTACCACTTAATAATCTTCTAAAGAGCATTAATAACTGGTTATTGTTTGAGAAAAGAAAATCATGAAAAATGAAAAAAAAAAAAAAAAAAAAAAAAAAATGGTTGTAAAAAAAATTTAAATAAAAAAATTTAAAAAAAATTTTTAATAAAAATTTTTTTTTTTTTTAAAATAGTTTTTTTTTTATAATTCCACACACCACACACCCATTTCGCCTATCACATTAATTGGGAAATCGTTAACCTTTCTGCAAAAGAAATCAAAATAAATAAACCTTTAAATTTCTCTTGATGAGTCACACAACCGATTTAATAATAAAAAGATATTTTTGATTTTAGATAATAATAAAAATAAATTCACTTTTATATCCATTACTACAACTTATAAATAAAGATAAGTAATGAAAGGATTACCCTAACTGGGTTTGTTAAATGAATAATTTAAAAATGAGAAAATCATATTATTTTTTTTTTATTTTTTTTTTGATAAAAAAATTTTAAAAAATTTTTTTTATTTTTTTTTTTAAAAATTTCATTTTAAATTTTTTTATTTTTTATTTTTTAACATTATTTGATTTCAACGATTATAAATGGCAAAAGACGATAAAAAATCAAAGGGTGGCAGTAACACTAATACCCTTGATATAAAGAGTGAAGAAACTCTTCAAGCCGTTGTTTTAGGTGATAGTTTTGATATAAAATTTTCACCGGTTACATTAGAAAAACCAAGAGTATGCGATAGCCATCGTGTGGATATTTTTAAAAGTTTTATTACCCATACTAATATTTGCTCTCTTTTTTTATTTAGACATTATTACCATTAGTAAATATACCATTATTAGATTATACATTAGAATTTTTAGCATCATCAGGCGTTCAAGAAATTTTTGTATTTTGTTGTGCACATGCAGACCAAATTAAAGAATATATTCAAAGTTCAAGATGGAGTAACCTTCCAGGTGTTTCAGTAAAATGTATGACTGGTAGAGATTGTAGAACTACTGGTGATGCCTTAAGAGGTGTTTATAATGCTCAAGTTATTCAATCAGATTTTATTTTAATTACTGGTGATGTAGTTTCAAATATGAATTTACAAAAAGCATTACAAGTTCACAAGTATGCATTTAAATCTAATTTTAGGCACTTTACATTTTTAAAAAATTCATTCTAATCATAAAATTTCATTTTTATTTTTTAGAGCCAGAAAGGAGGTAGATAAAAATAATATTATGACAATGGTATTTAAACAAGCATCACCAACCCACAGAACCAGATCAAAACAAGATGACACAGTTATTGGTACAAATAGTGAGACTTTACAATTAGTATGGTATGATAATTCACCAAAGAAAAAGAAGTCATCAATTCCAATAGAATTATTTAAAAAACATCCATCCATTCAAATGAGATATGATTTAATCGACTGTCATATCGATATTTGTTCACCAGAAGTTTTAGCATTATTCATCGATAATTTCGATTTTGCCGATATTAGAGAAGATTTTATTCACGATATTCTTGGTAGCGAACTTTTGGACCATAAATTATACACATACGTTCTTCAAGGTGAATATGCAGCACGTGTTAAAGATTTACGTACCTATCATTCAGTCAGCAAAGATATCATCCATCGTTGGACATTCCCAATGGTACCAGATAACAATTTTATGTGCAATACAACCTATTCATTATCTCGTCAAATGATTTATAAAGAACGTGGTGTTAAATTATTTGGTGATTGTTTAATTTCAGAGGAAACAGTTTTAGGTACCGGTACTGAAGTTGGTTCAGGTAGCAGAATTAGTCATTCAATTATTGGTAGAAATTGTCGTATTGGAAAGAACGTCAAGATCCATGGCTCCTATATTTGGGATAATGTTGTCATTGAAGATAATGCTGTCATTCAAAGCTCATTGCTCTGTAATGGTGCTATTGTTAAATCCGACAGTAGTATTGGTCGTGGTTCAATCATTGGCTTCAATGTTGTTGTTGGCAATAAGCTCATTTTAGAGCCATTCAGTAAAATCACATTAGCAGAACCAGAAGAAGATGAAGATGACGAAGAAAACATTCAAGATTTTAATATGGGCGAAAATGGTAAAGGTAAAAAATGGATACTCGAAAATGAACCATATAACGAGTTGGTCCAAAGAGAAATTGACGAGCCATCAGATTCAGATAGTGACGAACCCGGCTCTGGCGGAGTAATGCCACCAACTAAAGACAAAGATGATGATGTACCAGAATTCATTAAATTCCAAAGAGAAGTTAGAGATACCATTAGACGTGGTATTAATGAAAATCTTTTAATGGAAAATATACAAGTCGAAATCAATGGTCTTAAATTTGCCTATATTAAAGATGGTTTAGATTGTCTTGCTGCCATTCTTCCAGTATTATTAGAACATCCAAATATCAATACCGTTTCAGCTAAAGATTTAAGTGCATTCATTGTTAAAAGAATAAGCTCATACTCACCACTTTTAGTTAAATTCTCTAGTGAAGATAATCAAGTAGATCTCATTTTCAAGATTCAAGATTTTTGTGATGAAAATGAACAATATAAATCAGTTTTCCAATTAATCTTACATCGTCTTTATGATAATGATGTCATCTCTGAGGATGCCATTCTTGAATGGGCTCAAGAAATTGAAGATGACGAAGAAGATGAAGGTTTTTATTTAAAGAAATGTACAGAACTCATTAAATGGTTAAAATCTGCAGAAGAAGAATCCGATGAAGAAAGTGAAGAAGATTCTGATACAGACTCCGATTAATAAATAATAATAACAACAATAACAACAAAAGAATAATATTAATATTAAAAAAAAAAAAAAAAGAATTAAAAAAAAAATAAAAAAACAAAAAGATAATTTTTAAAAAAATTGTTTTAGGTGGGGAAAGTAAGAAATTTATTTATTGGCCACATTTATTTAATTCCAAAAAAAAAAAAAAAAAAAAAAAAAAAAGATTTAATATTCTTTTATTTTTGGTATTAATTATAAAAAATTAAAAAAAAAAAAAAATTTTAATTTTTAAAATTTCCAAATAAAGTAAAAATCAATATTATATTTTCAAGTAAAACATTGTTTATTTTATCAAAAGTTTTTTTAAAAAAGGAAAGAGAGATGAGAATAATTTTTATTTATTTCTAAAACAAGGTTCTGAAAAAATTATTTAAATAATTTTTTTTTTTTATTATTCATTTATTTTTTAAATCCAACATTGGTAAAACAAATAATATTTCAAATATAAATAATAAATATTTAAATAACTCAAAAGAAAGAAAAAAGAAAAATGACAAAAATTCATCTCGATAATGAATCAGAGCTCTACAGAGCCAAATCCGAATTGTTCAATGACAATAAAGACGAAAGTTGGTTGTTATTAAACTATGTAGGTCCAAAAGAAATTCATTTTGCTGCATCCGGTGAGCATGTAGACCAAGCCCCATCCTATTTAGAAAAAGATAAAGTTCAATATCTTTTAACAAGAATCAACAAAAGAAACTACCTAATCAATACCATTGGTGACGATGTTGGTCTTATTGAAAAAGGTAAAAAACATTTCCATAAGTCTGAAGTTGAAGAGTTTTTAAAACCATATGAAATTAGCTATACCGAAACTGATTTTGCCAAAATCAATAAAAACGATATCCCAAGATTCCATTAGATGGACAACCTTGTTTTTTATTAAAACAAAAAAATTAAAAATAAAAAATATTCACATAAATTTTAATACCCAAAATTTTTTTTTTTTTTTTTTTATTTAACTAAACTACTTGATAAAGATAATATTCACAAAACTATATAAAATTGAAAATATGTTATTAATGATAGTACTATTCTTCTTATATAAGTTGCTCATGTTCCTATTTTGGTTTGATTTTATTTTAATATGTTTAATAATAATTAATAAAAGGTAAATTAATTTTTATCATATTTAAATGCATATGTGTGTTTTATTTGAAAATTATTTTTGGTAATATTTATTAAACAAAAAAAAATAAAATTTTTGAATAGATCTAGATTTTCATTATTATAAAAAGATAAAATAATTTAAATTTATTTTAAATAATTATAATAATAATAATTACTATTATTACGAGAATGAAAATAAAGGGTAAATCTATTTTTAATTTTATATATAGTTTTTTTTTTTATTTAGCTATTTTTTTTTTTTTTCCCCAAAACCTATTTACGTAAAATAAAAAAAATAAAATAAAATAAAAAAATAGACGGTTTTAGTCGTCTTAACCCCTATGCATTTGCATGATGCCATAAAAAAAGTTCGAACCCTAAATTTTAATATGAACATCGGGTTTGGGTCTCCAAAAGGAGGAGAACGACAACCCAGTCTAATTTTATTTTTAAAAAAAATTGGTGTAATAATATTTTTTTTTTAATTTTTTTTTTAATAATTTTTTTATTTAATTTTATTTTAATTTTTTTTTTTTTTTTTATATTTTTTTTTTCTTTTTTTCTTTTATTTTTTTTATTTTTTATTTTCATTAAAATTATCTTTTTTATTATTAACATTAGTATATACACATAATATAAAATGGCCACATTATCACGTAATTTACGTCTTTCACTCGATACTCCAACCAGTACCTTTGTTAGAACCAAAATTGTTTGCACAATTGGTCCAAAGACAATGAGCGAAGATTCACTTATTAAATTAATTGAAACTGGCATGAACGTTTGCAGACTTAATTTTTCACATGGTACCCACGACGTAAGTAATAAAATTATAAAATAATATAATAGTAATAAAAAAATAAAAGAAAATAGATAAAAAAAAAATTGTAAATTTTTACATAATGGTGAAGTTAGCATTTTTTTTTTTTAATTTTTTTTTTTTTTTTTAGATTAAGAAAAAATTGATCTAATATTAATTTTAATTTTTTTATTTTTATTTAGTATCACGGTCAAGTTATCAGAAATGTTAGATCAGCCATGGAAAAGACTGGTAAAATTATTGCCATTATGTTAGATACTAAAGGTCCAGAAATTAGAACTGGTAAAATTGAAGATCGTCAAGGTTATGTTGATTTATTCGTTGGTCAAGAAATTCTTGTCGATACTGATACTGCCAAACCAGGTAATTCATTCAGAATTGCCATCGATTATAAAGGTTTACTTGATTCAGTCAAAGTTGGTGGTTATATTTTAATTGCTGATGGTGTTATTTCATTATCAATTACTGCTGTTGAAAAAGAAAAAGGGTAAATTAATTTAAATCATTAAATCAGTAATAATAATATTTATTAACTTTTTTTTATTTTTTTTTATTTAGTCACGTTGTTTGTAGAGTTAATAATAACTCACGTTTAGGTGAAAATAAGAATGTTCATTTACCAGGTGCAATTGTTAATTTACCAGCTGTTTCAGAAAAAGATATCGAAGATATTAAATTTGGTGTTGAACAAAATGTTGATTTCATTGCAGCTTCATTCATTAGAAAAGCTGATGACGTTTTAGAAATTAGAAAGATTTTAGGTGAAACAGGTAAAGACATTCAAATTATTTCAAAGATTGAAAATGTTGAAGGTGTTGACAATTTCAATGAAATTTTAGAAGTTTCTGATGGTATTATGGTTGCTCGTGGTGATCTTGGTGTTGAAGTTCAAATGGAAAAGATTTTCGTTGCCCAAAAGATGATTGTAAGTAAATGTAACGCTGCTGGTAAACCAGTTATTACTGCCACACAAATGTTAGAATCTATGATTAAAAACCCAAGACCAACCAGAGCTGAAGCTACTGATGTTGCCAATGCTGTTCTCGATGGTTCAGATTGTGTTATGTTATCAGGTGAAACTGCCTCTGGTGACTATCCATTCGAAGCTGTTGATATCATGACCAAGATTTGCAGAGAAGCCGAACTTGTAGAATCATCAACTGATTACCAATCACTCTTTGCTGCCCTCAAATTATCATCACCAAAACCAGTTACTGTCGCTGAAACCGTTGCTTCATACGCCGTCGCTACTGCCATCGACTTAAAAGCTGATCTCATCATCACTCTTACCGAAACTGGTCTTACTACCCGTCTTGTCAGCAAATATCGTCCATCCATCCCAATTATTGCTGTTACCTCATGGAGACACACCGTCAAACATCTTTTAGCCACCAGAGGTGCTATTCCATTTTTAGTTGAATCATTAATTGGTACCGATAAACTTGTCGAATCATGTCTTGAATACGCCATCAAACATAATCTTTGCAAAGTTGGTTCAAGAGTTGTCATTGTTTCAGGTGTTATGGAAGGTGTCCAAGGTAAAACCAATTCACTTAGAGTTTTAACTGTTGGCGAATCAATTAGAGGTATTAAGGTATAGATCAATTATATTTTATATAATTTTATTGTTTTTTTTTTTCTTTTTTTCTTTTTTTCTCTTATTATAGTGAAAACCCTCTTATCCATCTCTACGATTTATTTTATTTAATAATTATTTGTTTCTTGTGGGCTTAATAACTACTACTTCAAATCAAATAATCAATAACACTTGTGTATTATTAGTCTCGATAGCTTTTCCTCCATAAATAACTTTGTTCATCCCTTATATTTGCTAGAATTTATTTAATCGATAATCAAAAATGACAAACTACAATAATAATAATAATAATAATAGCCATAATGATAATGAACAATAATTAATATATGCCCTTTTTCATTTAATAGTCTTTTTATTTTTTTATTATTTTTTTTTCTTCTTAAATCTTTATACATATTTCTAATTTACATTTACTAATTCTTTCTTTTCTTCTTTTTTTTTATCTCATCTCTTATTCAAAATTTCATCTCATTCCATCTCTTTTCATCTCTTTACAACTTTTAGAAATAAGAACTGAATTGTCTTTTTCATTTTCACTCCATACAAAATATTTAAAAATTAAAATTTTTTTCTTGCTGCCATTAAATGTTAAATTATTTAATGGTTGTGTAAATATAATAATAATAATTTTTCATTATAAATCTATGATTTTTTTTTTTTTTTTTCAAAATAAAAAAATTATAATTATAAAAAGATGGTCAGTCATTTTTGTTGAATTTGACAAAAATTTTTATTTTTTTTTTTATTTTTTTTTTTATTTTTTTTTATTCACCAAAATTATATTTTTTATTCAAAAAAATGTTTTTGGAGATGGTCACATCACTGGTTTTGAAAAAAAATCCAAATTTTCGAATTTTTAGTTTTTTTTATTTTTTTATTTTTTTTATTCCTCCAACATAAAATATATATTATAAAATAATTATTAATTATAGTTAAAGAATGATTAAGTTTTTTATATTTTTATTTTTATTTTATGTATATAAAATAAATTGTCAAACTTTTCCAAACTTTGTGTTTGAAAAAAGAAGAGGAGATTTAGAAAAATACCCAGATTTATCAAATTCAGACAAATGTACTTTTGATTTGTATTATTATATTTCATGTTTAAAAGAAGGTGATACCCCCTCACTTAAATCACCAACTGCCCAAATAAATATTGTGGATCAAAATGAAACATCCACCCTTGTTAATATTTATTATCAAGTTAGCCTTGGTAGTGGAAATGGTAATCCTACTTTGGTTTCTATACCAGTTTCGTTTTCCGGTTGTGGTATATCCGATATGGGAATGCCATTGGATTTAAGATGCTTTGGTAATGTATATCTACAGATATATTGATATTTAATAATAAAATTAAGTATTAATATTAATTTTTTTACTATAATAGAGATTAAATATAGTTCATTAGTTATTACCAACACTGGTTTAAATCCAAGTTCAGTATATGGTGATCATACTCTTATTACAATTCGGGGATTAAGGTACCAATTATCTAATCTTACTGCCTCTTTTCAAGCTATTGCAATTGGTGGGGGTTATTTTGTAATTCCTTTACAAAATTGTAATTATGGAAAAGATTATCCAATAGATTCAATAATCACGAATAATTGTAGTGTTTCTTTATTTTTTAATAATATAGAGCATAAAATATCGGTTTCACCACCATATCTATGTAAGTTTTAACCATATTTAGAAATTCTTTTTATATTTTAAAAATTTTTTTTAATTAAAATTTTAAAATTTTTTAATTTTTAGTTTCTGAATTAAATCAAATAAGTGAAATTAAAACATACCCTGACTTTACAGTATCAGATACATATATACCAATGTCATTGGATGCCTATGCAAGTGTAACATTCAAATTAAAATCAGATGTATATATACCATTTAAAGTTTTATCATACCAATCTGAAGTTTCCATTTTAAATATTAATCCTCTCTATGGTGATAGTGACGGTATTACATATATTGCTTCTTTAGATAATGGTTTACCAACAGGAAAAACTGCAAATTTATATATTCAAGATGGCGATGATGCCGTACAAAAAAAATCTATTACTTTTAAACAACAAGGTATGTAGTTTTAATTTTTTTTTTCTTTAAAAAAAGTTACATATTAATTATATTTTATAAAGATTTAACTTTTACAGGAAATTCCTATATCAGTAGTATTTCCAACTCTATCAATAACGTTTCTCCATTTTCATCCGGAAGCAATATGGGTTATTATGTTATTGCAGACATGTATTATTCATTTGGCCCAAAACTATTTGATGGTACATTGTTCGGGTATCCATTTGGAATTATCAATGGTATGGTAGAAAACTGTCAGTATGAAGCGATCTTCTTTATTTCAAAATTATATAAACAAATTTACTTTGGCCAGAGTAACACAACAAAACAATATATTAGCCTTGGAGCTGGAGTCGAGACTTCCGCGCCCATCGTCAAAAATATCGAATTTATTTATATAGGAGAGTCATACAGTTTGTTAAGAATATCAGCATCGGATCAATCTGGAATTGCTAAAATTAAGTTTGGTGAAATAGATATCGGTTTCAATGCAGAAGTAATATTAAAGCCTGGAGGTTCGTTAATGGATGGTGTTTTCGAAATAATAGTGTCACCCTTATATTTTAATATAGATACCATCTATGTAGTTGACTTGTATGGAAATAGCAGAGCTGTCGATGTTGGTTCGTTTTATAATTTTGCTTCTCCATCATATCAATCTTTTGGTGATGGTAGGTAGATTCTTTTTTTATTTATTATTTAAAAATTATTACTAACATTATTTAAATGTTTTTATTTATTGCAGAAATTTATAATTTTTTAAGTTTACTAAGATCAATTACTTTTGATACATATGAAATGGATGTAACAAATAGCGAAGCTTATAATACTATGTATCTTAATTTTTCGACTCCAATAACCATGCCATTTTATATAACTGCTAAAGGGATTTCTCAAGAAATTGTGTTCCCAGTTTCTAGTTTTGATAATTCCTTTTATACATTCAAGTTTTCATTAAAGAAAAATATTATGCCAGGCCCCTTGGAGATAAACATGTTCCAATATCCATATACAAAAGCAATACCATATGATATAATTTACCAAAAATCAAACACAGTAATTATAAAAAGTCTAACGCCAGATATCTCAGGTCCATTTGTTTCCAAAATTGTTAGAGTTCCTGGTGCTTCAGTTAATCTTAATTTAACCCCAAACCAAGCTGTAGGATGGAGTGTTTCAGTGGAGGATAAAGTAAATGGATTCTCACATGGTTATATTATCGCAATTGGTTCAAAGGATGGTTCAATTAATAATTTTACTTTAAAATCAGAGAGTTCAGATAAATCAATTACTTTTAATTTGATATTGGAAGAAATTTCTTGTGTTTCCCAGACTATCACTATTACAGAGGTAGTTCTTTATGATACATCCGGTTTCATTTCATCTTTCAAATCAAATAAAGCCTATAGTAATAGAGAGTATTCAGGGGATTTGGATAGTCCAATAAACCCATTGTTAAATTATTTTGGTCCCAACAAAGATAATTTAACAATTGGAATAGAATGCACGGAGTCTCCAGAATCAACAGGACCAGAATTAGTATCAATTGAAGTAAATAAAGAAAATATAGATGTGGGTTCAAATGATAGATCATTATCATTCACAATGGTTTTCAATGATCCCGAAACTGGCATAAACAGAGGTCAGTTACCGATTGTATATATCACCTCATTATATTTTGAACATATCAAGTGTATTTCAAACCTAGTCAGTTGTCAAAAGGATATAAAAACATGTACCTTCAAATGTGAAACAGAGCTACCCTTTGGATACAGTTACCCAAATAATCTAACTTTCCAAATATATGGTGCATTAAATAATGGTGGCTTTCATTCCGGTTATTCTTATTTTTCTTTTTTTAATAAATTCAATAAGTATCCCAGTATTCAAGTAGAGTTCTCCACCAATATCCCAGTTATAACCCAAACAAATAGAATCTCCAATGAAGGGGGCAATTTATTAATTATGGGCCAATATATTGGTGATGCTAAATCTGTTTTAATCAAATATTCAAATGCTAAATCAATAACCTTAGCTCCAACATGTAGTGATACATCATATTGTACAATTCAGGTCCCAGAATCAGATTTATCATTTACAATTCAAATTGAATTAAAGGATAATTCAAAATCAAATGAATTCAAAATAACCCCAGTTTATGTTACAAAAGTTATTCCACAATCTTCATCATCTTTGGGTAGTTCCTCATTGGTTTCATCTTTTTCGTTAGATCCAATTAACTCGTCTTCATCACAAGAGTATGAGTGTCCAGGTAAACCAGTATGTGGTGGTGCATCAAATGGTTATTGTACAACCAAGGGTTGTGTTTGTATATCACCATGGTTTGGTTTGGAATGTAAACAAAAAGTTATTATTGTACCACAACCTTCATTTAATAACACCGATCCAAACATTACAGTTATTGTACCAAATGAAAATAATGCAGATAAAGTGGAATATACATCATTGACATCAATTATATCAATAAGAGAGGTTGACAAAGATAAACTACCATTCCAAAAACATTCATTTGAAAAATGGGTCAATAACAGAGTTGGCAATTCAGTAAATGAATACTATTCAAACTTTACAAATATCAATAACAGCAGTAAAACAACCCAAGTAAAAGTTATTGTAGAATGGTTCGAAAAACAAACCAATATTTCATTCGCAAGTGAGCAATTAGATATGAATCCAAGCTCAGTTAAATATACCATCGAAATCATCGACTATCCATTCCAAAGCATTTTAAACAGTTTAGAAATTGTAATGTCAGCATCGTTCAAATCAAACGACAAAACAGACGGATGTTCCTCAAAAGAATTTGGAGATACCAATGGATGGGACAATTCCAACTATTTAAAGATTCAAGTCAATGATCATTCATTATATGCAAGATTCATTAAAAGAGGAGTTATAAACGGTAGATCTATTGTAACGGTATCCAATTCAATTTTAGATGATTCATTCAAAACTGTTCAAGATCCAAGTCAAGCAACATCATTTATAGCAATTTCAATACCATACTTTTCATCAAATGCAACAATCGATCCTGATTTTTCAATTTTATTAGATCAATCGAAATCATCATCATCAGTTTGTAAATCCAAACTATCATCTACACAAATTGCTGGTATAATCATTGGTGCAGTCGGTTTTGTTGCTGTCGTTGCTATCTGTATAATAGGTTATTATATAAAAAAGAAAAGAGCCCAAATAGAGATGGACAAGTTATCAATTAAATTAAAAAATATGGACAAATAAATTACTAAAAACAAATAAATTAAAATTAGTTTTACCTGTCCAATAAAGAAATTTTTTTTATTTTATTTATCTTTGATTAAATTAATTTTTACATCCATAGTATATATTAAAGCTTCTTTGGTATTGATGATTCTTTGGGTTTGGGTATGTGTACCAAGTAATGTTAATACATCATCATTATCGTTGGGTCTTGTAATTTGTAAATTATATTCGCTTTGGACTTCTGCTAAATCATTATTTTCATTTTCGAAAAATATATTACCATACAAGTAAATTTCGTCCCTTTCTTTATTGAATATACCACTGCAAACTAATTGAGGAGCATTAGTTATATCCATGTATAGTTTTACAGCACCACCCAACATTGTTAAATATTTAGTTTCGCCTAAACCTAAAATAATAGTAATATTTTTAAAAGAGATTAGTATTATAATAAAAAGTTTTGTTTGGTTTATCATGCACATAGTTACTTGATAAAATATAACCATCTTTATCTGAAATTTTTGTTTTTAAAAAGTCCATTTCCTTTATATATTCCTCTTTGAATTGTTGAAATTTGTTTTCATCTTCAATTGCTGAAGAAATTAAATTTGGATTTTTAAAGCCGAAAGAATGAACGCTATATTCTGTATAATCAATAAATGGGTCAGTTGAATTGACTTTCTTTGATTCTCTGCCAGTTTCTATTTGTTTTTTGAGTATTTCTAATATTGCTGGGTATGAAAAATCATCTTTTGGAGAATATGGGTAAACATTCAATAGTGCCAAGCTTTTATCATTTACTTTTTGTGCATATTTGATCATATCATCCCATAATGAGAGATGTGGGGCTAATAAAAAACATTGTAAAGCCTAAAAGAAAGAGATTAGTATTTGTTTATAATTGTTTTTACTATCAACTTTTAAAACCTACCATTCTTTCGGATATGGTTTCTCTTTTGCTAATATCTTTCATTAGATTACTGATTTTTGGAATTAAAGATCTACTATGGAAACAAATTATAAGTTGTTGAAGTTCGATATGTTCTTTTCTTTCTTTATCAAAATTGCTTGTGTCCATATCCAAAAAGTTCCAAATTTTTTCTAAATCATCTTTATTTAAAGTCTATTAATTATTTGATAAAAAAAAAGTTTAATAGATTGTTTTTTATAAAGTCAAATATTTGTTTTTATTTTATTTACCTTTGGAGTTAAATTACATTTACCCAAATATTGCCATAGAAAACTAGATGCTAATAAACGTTGAGTGAAATCCAATTCATTTGGGTCGCATTTATAAAGTAAATCTTTATACTCTTCAAAATGCTTTGGTATACCATCTTTAGATAAAACTGCAACTTGATTAATCTCTTTGATATTATTAATAAGATTGGCCTCGGTTAAATCTTTACTATTGATATGATATTCGCTATCTAAACTATTGCTCTTTGCTTTATTGATATTATCATTGTTTTCACTGTTTTTATTGTTGTTATTAATATTATTTGTTGTAAAAAATCTATTTTCACAAAACTGAGTCTTATATAACTGGTTTTTTCTATTAAAATTGTTATTATTGAAACAATAGTAATTTGTGTTTTTTAAATATTGATTTGTTAATAAAGAAATCGACTTTCTATTAAATAATAATTTTTTTATCATTGTTGAATAAGATTTGAAAATAAAAAATAAATGAAAAAAAAAAATGAAAAAAAGAAAAAAAGAAAAAATTTAAAATTATTTTTTTATTAAAATTAAAAAAAAAAAAATTAAAAAAAAAAAAATATTGAAATTGAAAAAATAGATAAATTAAATTTTGATCATTGTATTTTTTGTTTTAATTATTTATTTGAATAAAATATATATATATATTTTTATGATATATATAATTTATAAAAAAATAATATTATTGGGGAAACCGTGAATCTGTAGGAAACATTTGACTCGGAAATCTTAAAATTTTTTTAATATCTATAAATATCTATTAAGTTTGGTGATTGATGATATTTTTATTTTTTTTTATAATTTATTAAAAATTTCCTCTTTATTTTTCTTTTTTTTTTTTGAAATAAAATCTTTTTTTTAAAATAAAAATAAAAAAATAAAATTAAAATAAAAAAAAGAAAAGTACAGTATAAAAATATAAAATAAAAAAATAATGATATATTTTAAAATTTTATTTTTATTTTTATTTTTTATATTTTTTATTCATAGAATAAATTGCGTAGTTATTGAAAACAAATTTAATGTGGATGATATAACATTTCCGAAAGCTCAAGACACATACAACAAATATCCTGTGGAATCAAATTCAAACAAGTGTATATTTGAATTTGAAATTATAGCATCTTGCATCGAAAATGGATATGAATACCCAAAAGTTTCCTACCTTTACCATCCAGATATTCTACAAGTATCAACTTATGATAATATAAAGAATTATACTCATGTAGCATACACGATTGGAGTGAGTGTTTTTATATCGAAAACCACATTAAATTTAACTTTTAAAGGTTGTGACTATAGCGATGCCAATGCTTTATTTCCTTTATCTTTTCAATGCCATGGTAATTTATAAATATAATAGCCAATATTAATAATATCCTTAATAATATCCTTAAAATAATAAAACGAATTGAAAAAATTTAATAAATAAATATTTTAAACTAACATTATTTTTGTTTTTTTAAATTTAAACAGAGGTAGACACATCAAAATTACAATTTAAAATTTCAAATACATCATATGGTTTATTTACTGATTATAACGTACATTTAAAAATAACAGGACTATTATATCCTTTAGAGTTAAACAATAAAAAATTTAAAAGTTTAGGTGGTGGTTACTATTTTCTCTCTTTTAGTAATTGTAATATCTATGATAATAAAGAATTTTATCAAAACACTTCAATTGGTAATTGTTATTATGATTTTGATATTGGAGATAATCACTATGTCTTAACGTCAATTCCCACCTATATTGGTAAGTGTAACCCTAAACTGAAAAACCATATAAAAAATACTAATATATTTTTATTCATTAGAATCTAAAACGAATCAAATTATTGATACAATAACATATCCACCAACATTAAATAACTCAATATTTGAACAAATTCATCATTCAAGTTTCCCATCAGTAATAGTTAAAATCAAATCAGATATCTATCCCCCATTTCTTATTAATAGCTTTGAAAATAAAACAGATATTAAAATGCCAACTCTATTATATGGAGAAAAGGATGGCACCTTAGTATTTTATTACCAAAACAATTTTATAGATAATTTGAAAAATCATCTATTTTATCAAAATGGAAGAGCTTATGGTGAAATATCTTATTTGAATTATTCAATAAAAAGTAAGTTATAACGATTAAAAAATTATATGTAAAATAAAATTTTAAATTGATGGTTTTATTTTCTATTAGATTATCAATTCCAAGGAGACAGATCAACTTTCACTCTATATATTGAGGATACAAATATAATAATATTTAAATCAGTTCTATCTAGCACAAATTTCAATTTTAATCAATTCTTGCTTCAATCACACACAAGTCAAAATAAATATAGTTTTAATTTTCCTTTTGGTTTTACAAGTGGAACCCTTTTAAACTATGACCATTTACCTACTTTCTTTTTAAGGAATAACACTTTATTTTCATATGGATTTTTTGAATTTCTATCCACAGAAAGAAGCTATGACTCTTTAGGTAATTATTTCCCTAATTTTTATTTTTATTTTTTTATTCATAAAATACTAATTTGTTAATTTTAAAAAAAGTTGTGGTCTCAACAATAAAAGATATAGAAATTCAGATCGTTGGATATTCATATTTCATGGTTAGAGTGTCGGTTTCAGATGAAAGTGGGATTTATAAAATTTCAATTGGAACATTCAGTTTTGGTATTGAATCTTTAGTATCAGGAACTATATATGATGGTGTATTTGAGGGTGTAGTTAGTATGATTTATGGATATACCGATATAACTATTGAGAATATTAATGGAAACTCAATTACAGCCAAAATTGGTAAAGCATATTCAATAAATCCATTAAAACAGCTAGCGGACCCAAGAACAAGTAAATATTTTATTTTTTTATACCCCCCCTTTTAAAAATTTTAACAAAACCTTCATAAATTTTATAGATAAAAACATATTGTCTTCATTATCATCTTTAACATTCCAGTCATATGAAATGGATATAACAAAATCTGAAGCTTACAATACCATGTACTTTAACTTTTCATCTCAAAAAATAGAATATCCATGCGTTATTTTTATTTTTTCAGATTTTTTGACTAAAAATTTAGAAAAACCTTTTTTCTGTAAGTGGGATGATCTAAATAAAGTGTATTCTGTTAAATTTGTGATTGGGAAAAATGACATCCCCTACTTTGATTGGCTTGTATTGTTTGACCCATATTCAATTCCGCTTACATCAAGTTTATTCAGTGACAAATCAAAGCCAGTAAAAATAAAAAGTTTAACTCCAGATTTTTCAGGTCCAATAGTAACAAATATTGTAAAATTTCCCGGTGAATCGGTTATAATTAACTTTGGTAGTGATCAACCAGCAGGATGGAGTATCACTTTCGAAGATAAAATCAACGGGTTTTCACATGGTTATGTAGTTGTGAATGGTTTGGTCGATGGCTCTATCAATAATTTTACATTAAACTCTATCAATGCCGATAATTTATTTACTTTTACCTTGCTTTTATCAAACATGTCGTGTGTGGATCAAGTTTACCAAATTAATGAAATCAAAGTTTTTGATACTGCTGGAAAATACACATATTATGGATCTTTTGCAGAAGAAGGATCAGTAAACACTTTAATGCGTTTCACAAATGACCCGGAAATTATCATGATTCGAGTTTCATGCAACCAGAATATAGATGACCTAACTGGGCCTGTAATAACATCAATTACTCCCAGCAATACAGTTGTTGATGTTGGGTCCAACAATAGATCAATATCATTTACAATAGTAGTAAATGATCCAGAAACCGGTATTAACAAAGGCCAATCACCAAGTGTATACATATCATCTTATTTTGATGTTATTGAGTTTAAAACTATTCTTCAAAGCTGCGAATCTGATGATTTAACATGCACCTATCAGTGCCAAGTTGAAATACCCGTAGGATTTGGTTTTCCAAAACCCATAATGTATCAGGTATATGGTATCTGGAATAGAAATGGTATCTTCTCTGGTTATAACTTTGAAAAACTTAAAATGGGAACAAATTTGGGAGGTGGTTTAATTTCAACAATTTACTCTATAAATATACCCATAATAACTCAAACCAATAGAATTACCAATCAAGGCGGAGAATTATTAATTATTGGAAAAGCTATTGGAAAAGCCTCTTTGGTTTATATCAACTATCCTGATGAGTCAAATAATACAATCCCAAAATGTCAAAGTAGTACAACTTGTATGGTTATTATTAATAAATCAGTTACCAAACCATTTACAATCCAAATTAAATTAAAAGACAACTCACTTTCAAATATTTATTCAGTAGAGCCGGTTTATGTTGGTCCATTAGATCCAATTAACTCATCTTCATCACAAGAGTATGAGTGTCCAGGTAAACCAGTATGTGGTGGTGCATCAAATGGTTATTGTACAACCAAGGGTTGTGTTTGTATATCACCATGGTTTGGTTTAGAATGTAAACAAAAAGTTATTATTGTACCACAACCTTCATTTAATAACACCGATCCAAACATTACAGTTATTGTACCAAATGAAAATAATGCAGATAAAGTGGAATATACATCATTGACATCAATTATATCAATAAGAGAGGTTGACAAAGATAAACTACCATTCCAAAAACATTCATTTGAAAAATGGGTCAATAACAGAGTTGGCAATTCAGTAAATGAATACTATTCAAACTTTACAAATATCAATAACAGCAGTAAAACAACTCAAGTAAAAGTTATTGTAGAATGGTTCGAAAAACAAACCAATATTTCATTCGCAGATGAGCAATTAGATATGAATCCAAGCTCAGTTAAATACACCATCGAAATCATCGACTATCCATTCCAAAGCATTTTAAATAGTTTAGAAATTGTAATGTCAGCATCATTCAAATCAAACGACAAAACAGACGGATGTTCCTCAAAAGAATTTGGAGATACCAATGGATGGGACAATTCGAACTATTTAAAGATTCAAGTCAATGATCATTCATTATATGCAAGATTCATTAAAAGAGGAGTTATAAACGGTAGATCTATTGTAACGGTATCCAATTCAATTTTAGATGATTCATTCAAAACTGTTCAAGATCCAAGTCAAGCAACATCATTTATAGCAATTTCAATACCATACTTTTCATCAAATGCAACAATCGATCCTGATTTTTCAATTTTATTAGATCAATCGAAATCATCATCATCAGTTTGTAAATCATCCAAACTATCATCTACACAAATTGCAGGTATAATCATTGGTGCAGTCGGTTTTGTTGCTGTCGTTGCTATTTGTATAACAGTGTATATTATAAAAAAGAAACAATATCAAAAGGAAATGAAAAATATGCAAAATAAATTAAAAACCATAAATAAATAAATTTCATACAAATAAATAAATTAAAAACTAAATTATTCTCTTCGATGTTGCTATTACTGTCATTCAAATAATATCTTCTTCGTACCGATTTTGAGTATTAATAGGTTGGATCTTGGATTTCATAGTTAAAGAAACAAATTATTCATCTTCGATTTCATATTCTTTTGTTTCTTTAAGTTGGCTAGCTTTAAAGATTCTTGAATTTATTTTACTTAAATATATTTCATATTGAACTTTTTGATTATTTTTGGCAAACTCTTTACTTTCCCCAACAGTTGTATTGGCAAATAATTTTATTTTTTTTGTGTTATAAAAAATTAAAAAATATAACACAAAAAAAAAGAAAAAAGGGAAATATATTTTTTTATTTAAAAATCGAAAATATATTAAAAAAGTAAATAAATTATATAGGAAAATATAAATAAATAGATAAAAATATATAATTTGATAATATAATAAACATTACAAATAATATTTTTAAATAAAATAATTTTAATTTTATTTTATATATTTATATATTTTAATGATCTGAAAATAAATAAACATGGTTTCTATGTCATTGAACCTTATTTGTCTAAATTTATTTGACTTTGCTAATTTTATAGCTTTTTCTGATTGAATTTGTGAATAAATAGATTACACCTAAAATCTAAGTACTGACAATTATTAAAACTGTATACTAAATATTAGTTGAATTATAAAGTATGTCTAAAGATGAAAACTAGTTTGATTTTGAATTTGATTGTAACTGAGGTCAATTAAAAATATCTACAGAGTTTGGCCATCAACTTTTCATAATGAAAATTAATTAAAATACTTGACTGAAAACTTAACAGTGTGGTAATGAGAAGATTAAAATTGGGTTATACTCTAAAAAATGATATTAAATGTGATTATTTAATAAATAAAAGTTAAAAGGTTGATTAGTATTAATCAATTAAAATATTAAAATATAATAGTAATATTTACAAAGAATAAACAGAACCCCGATGTTTGAATTGTGACTTTAAAATGTGTTCATACTGAAAAAGAACCCCAATGTTTCATGAATGATTTGAAAAAAACACAGTTGAAAAGAATAAAACATACCCCCAAGTATGATTAATGATTTGAAATAAATAAAATGTTGAAACTGAACAAGAAAGAATTAAATTTAAGCTAAATAAGTATTAAAATTAATTATTAGTTTCTTTTATATTCAAATTTAACAATAATTATATAAATACCTTAAAGATACCCCAATGTTGGCATTAAATAAAGAACGTGATTATACTGAAAGAGAAAATATTATATTTGAAATATATATGAAACTGAAAGAGAGAATTAATCTAAATATGAAATAAATATTAGTTTCTTTTATATTTTAATAATTATGTAAATATTATCATTGTATTTACTTTGATAAAACAAGTACCTAAACATGGCAACGCGTTGAATGAGAAAGAATTAAATATTGAGCTTTTTGATATTAAAGAGAAAGATCCAAACTAAAACCGTGTTGAATGAGAAAGAATTAAATATTGAGCTTTTTGATGTGTATGAGAAAGATTTAAACTAAAAACGAATAAAAGAATGGTTAATTTTATATTCAAATATAATAATTATGTAAATACTAATATTATAGTTACCTTAGGGAATGAAAGCGCACACATAGACATTTAGTATTGAGCAAGATTATAATGGAAGAGAAAGCATTATTAAACTATATAGGAATTAATAAATTTGAGAACCAGTACATGAAACCTTTGGAACTTCTTTAACCTTTTTTATGAAGAGTTGAGGATAATGCAATGAATGGTAATGTTTGTCCAATGATGTTGTTTTCTGATTTAATATTGTTTGATATCGTTATTATTCCATATAGATAGAGTATTATTGATCCAGGTTAAAATAATCATCTAATTGGTGGCCAGCCAATTGATGAAGATTAACCCAATAATCTATATTTTCCCTATGGATTGGATTATTGTAATCGAAATGTTATTGGACATCCATTCTGTTTAAAGTGTTGTTTATATTATTAATCAATGTTCATAGAATCATTTGTTAAACCCTCATTTTGAATATCTCTCTACAATTAAATAATAAATTAAATTAATATATATGTTTTATTAATAAAGTATAAATATGAATGTATGAATTACTTACTCTAATACTTGAAATTGGTTGTCTGCAAGTTGGACAGGTTCTAGTACGAGAATACCATCTAGTAATGCATTCAAAGCAAAATTTATGAACACAATCAATTGATGCACTATTAATGGCCTCTACCTGATTAAAGCAAACTGTGCAGATGTTTTCGTCTTCGTCTTGTTCCATTTGTTGTGGTTGTCCTTCTTGTTGCAATCTTATTTGTTGTAATCTTTCTTGTTGCAATCTTAAGGCTTCGAATTGTTCTCCACGTACCCTTTGATGTTCTTCTTGTGTATATGGAGATTGGGCACGTTCTCTTTCTATATTTCTTCTATTTGCACGTTGTTGCATTTCTTGTAATCGTTCTCTTACTGAATTTATGTAACGATTACGTTCTTCTTGCTCTCTTGAAAATCTTTCCATAAATAATTGACGGGCATTTCTACTTTCAACTACTTCTCTAAATAAATTGTCGGCATCTTCCCATTCTCTTGAAACTATTTGTGGTTGTCTTTCTATTTCTATTGTTTCCATAGGTACCCTTTCTTGTTGCTCTCTGGCAACTCTTTCTCTTAATATATTTTGGGCACGTTCCCTTTCTTGTTGCTCTCTTGCAACTCTTTCTCTATATAAATTTTGGGCATACTCCCTTTCTTGCTGCTCTCTTGCAGCTCTTTCTCTTAATAAAATTTGGGCACGTTCCCATTCTTGTTGCTCTCTTGCAACTCTTTCTCTTTCTATTCTCTCTCTTTCAATTCTTTCTCTCTCTATTTGTTCTTGACGTACCCTTTCTTGACGTTCACTTTCGATTCTTAATAAATATTGGGTATGCTCCCTTTCTTGATGCTCTCTTTCTCTTTCTAAAACTTCTAAACGTTCTCTTTCTTGTCTTTCTCTTATTAGTCTTTCTGAACGTTCAGATTCTCTGATTTCTCTTTCAAAATCTAATAATTCTTTTCTGAGAGCTTTTCTTGCCTTCTCTCTTTCAGTTTGTTCTTTATCCCTTCTAAGAATCTCTAAAACTAATGGATTTGACTCTAATGATTGGTTACTATTTTTATTATTGATATTGTTATTATTGTTATCATTAGAGGCAATGTTTGAAGGAATAAAGTTTGGGGTAGTTCTTTCTTGTGTTTCTTTTGTTGGTGTATCTTTGAAAAAAGGAGATGGTAAATATCTTACACCATTTTTACCATTATTATTATTATAATTATTATTATTATAATTATTATTATTATTATTATCATTATTATTATTATCATAATAACTACTGTAGTTATTATAATTATTTAAAGTAATATTATTATTATTATTATTATTATTATTATTATTATTATTATTATTATAAATATCATTATAATTATTATTATTATTATTATTATTATAATTAAAATTATAATGATTATAATTATTATTATTATTATTATTATTATTATTATTATTATTATTATTATTATTATTATTATTATTATTATTATTATTATTAATATAGTTATAGTTATTATTATTATTGTCATTATAATAACTATTATTATTATTAAAATTAATATTATTATTATAATTACTATTATTATTATTATTATTATTATTATTATTATTATTATTATTATTATTATTATTATTATTATTATTATTATCACTATTATCATTATTATTATTATTATTATTATTATTATTTTTATTAATTTTATTTTTATATAAAATATAAAAACAAAAAATGATAAATAAAAAGATAAAAATGAAAATATATAGGCTATCCATTTTTTTTTTTTTTGAAAGCTATTGAGACAAAAAATATACGTATAAAAATGTAAAGTTATTTATTTGTAAAGAAAAAAAAAAAAAAAAAATTTAAAAGACTTTAAAAAAATAATTTAAAAAAATTTTAATAAAATTAAAAAAACAATATTGATATTAAATAAAAAAAAAAAATTAAAAAAAAATTTATATTTGAAAAAATCATATAAATTACGAACTTAACTTTTATACTGATTACCTTATAATTAACTAAATTTAGTAAAACTTTC